ACATGAGTGTGAGTTCATGCAGGTATGTGCAAACGTGTGTGAGAGTTTCTGTATGTGTGTGCTTATTTGTTTTGTGTATGTGGTGAGTGTGTGTGTATTTGTGTGTGAGTGTATTTACGTGTGTGTTTGTGTGGTGTCTCTTTGTGTATTTGTGTGGTGTGTGTGTGTTTGTGTAGTGTGTGTATTTCTGTAGCATGTGTGAGTGTGTGTGTGTTTGTGTGATGTGTGTATTTGTCTGCGAGTCTGTATGTATTGGTGTGTGGTGTGTGTGTGTGTGGGCTGAAACAGTGCATTACGTATCAGACTGCTTGGCCATGAAGTCCTCTGCCTTCCAGAAAGCCATTATCTGTGGAATGTCTCTGTCCTGCGTCCATGTCTGTTCTCACGGGCAGGTTGTCAAGGCTCAGAACAAAGGAGCCACACACAGACCAGGGCTCCGGCGGGGACGGTGCCCACTTAGTGCCCAGATTCGCAGTGTTGTAGCTTTTCAGTATGACTCCACATTCACCGGCGTTTTTCTCAGTCTCTTCTGCGTTCTTGCTCTGCTCCTCCTCTTCCTCCTCACTGTGGGGTGCAGTCTCTGGGTCAGCGAGAAGCGTGAGCCGCTTCCCGTGCCGGACCGGGACACCGGGGGAAGCCGGGATTTTGGGCTCTTCCTACCCCAGCCGATGCCGCAGGCATCCTCAGCGTGTTGGGCACTCGTGAAGGAACGAGAATGTTCTGTCTCTAAACCCCATTGTGTTTTTTTGACTTCTTGCTGCACTCAGCCACATGCAACTTGTGCCAGATGCCTTCTTCTGACTTAGTTCATTACAGCGAAGACGCAGGGCTCTGCCAGGAAAACCCAGGAGCACAGGAACACGATGTTCTGATGCGTCACAGGTTTCTGCTTGTTCTGGATGTTCAGTTCAGTTTGTCTTCATTGTCTGTCGCTCTTTTCTGAAAATATTACACTGAAGCCAAGATATCCCTATCATTCCTATGCACATTTCTATGCATACATGTATATTAAAACTATATTTAGCTCTCCAGGTGGGCAGCTCCGTCAACATGTGTAGGCTGCGAAGGAACAAGTAATAGGTTTATTCCATGCTGAAAAGAGAAGAGAGAAAACACAACGTTTCGGCTGTGGACCCTTCTTCTTCTTCACATGAAGAAGGCTCCACAGCCGAAACGTTGTTTTCTTTCTTCTCTTTTTCAGCATGGAATAAACCTATTACTTGTTGCTCATATTTAGTTCTCTCTGCAGCACCTCCTGACGCCGGAGTTACGGCCCTGAGAGAGTCAGTTGCTGCCCGCGCCTGTCTCCAGCGCCTCCAGGGCTCGGCCTCGCAGGCCCTGGTCCCGCATCTCGCCTCCTGCACCCCGCATTCCCCGAGGCCGTGGTGCCGCTCGATCGGCCTCTCTCTCTCTCACCCGTTCATAAAAAAATCGCCTCTTCTTTGAGCTAGAGGTGTAAGCAGGGCTGAGATTAGATGTTGTGGGCCTGCCGGCCTGTCGTCCTTCCCATGTGTGCGCTTTGAGAATACTTCCACGTTCGTCTGAAACTGTAGCCATCTTCGGGTGATTTTCCTGACCTTATATTAAATGTCCGTGACGGCGGCTCGCGGGCTGCAGCTCAGTTCAGAGTGAGCTCACGTGAAGCCGGGGCGCGAGCCGGTGTCATATTCCCCAACCCTGTTTGCGCTATTTCAGCTCGTGCAGCAGATATCAATCACGAACAGCGTCTTATTACAAAGCGCTGCTGTTTTATTTATATAGTCAGCTCACCTCAGGGTCTGAGGAGTGAGATGGGGGAGCCCGCGGTGTGCACGTGCGCGTGGCCCACGCGCTCAAGGGGACCTGTCTCTGTCCGATTCTTGTCGATAGGGCTGCTAGTTCAGGAGCACCTGAGCCCGCAGACAGCAGGACGGCCTCGACGTGCCTCGGAGACGTGTCACAGCACGGCTTGAAGGAACAGTTTGTGCAGAATCCGACTATTACATTTAGACACGCGGGATTCAAATTCTATTTGCTGCTGCATAGTAAGGGGTTTGCCTCAAAACGGTAATAAATTAAACTGAATTAGAATCAAACGTTCTTTTTAATCTACATCGAAATTATTTGCGTTCATGGGCTAGCCTGGCAGCTGTTTATTACTGTGAAGGTACTCGGTTTTAGAATTGAGCATTACAGCACTCCAAGAAATATGAAGGATATGTTAATATGTTCTTTTCACAGATTTACACAACTGGATACTCTGTAAAGAAATGTAACGAACAAAAACTTTTTTAGGATCAAAACAGTGGTGTCCTAACAACAACTGAACACGAAATTATATTACGAAATGTACCCGCTTTACAGTATTTTAATATCACGTTGTTCATGCCATAGTACATAATACATAATTACGCAGCTATAGAAAATTCGTAATTAAAAGTAACCGTTGAAAATGCGACGATTCAGAATTCAGTAAGATAAAGACCAGCAAACGATCCGACACCTTGTGCTACAGGACACCCGACAAATGGAGAATTTGAAGTCCGAAGATGAGACTGTTTTGAATAACAATAACCGGCAGCGTGTGATATGTTTCTGGATGTCATTTTCGGGTATTTTTGCGTGTTTACTGGAAGCACGCACACACGGATTCGTAGTACCAGCGGAAAATTCATTTCGCAACACTTGTAACCGAACAGTGCTGTGGTGGGCGGGATGGTGTGACATATGAGGTACCTTACAGCCAATGATATACGAGAAGCTGCTCTGCGGCGTGGTTTGTTTTCTGATTGACGTGTGTTTTGAGCCAGTCAACTCAGTAGTGCAGAGGCTTGTCCTTAAGTGTTACAGATTTCCAGGATTTCATAACTGGTTATATATTTCAAAGAAACGTGATTGATTTAGATTGACTTATTTTCGCAGTAGGTGTCCAGGTTAGAAAGGGGCTTTTAATTTTATTCCGGAGAGCAAAAGAGCGATATTTTACATCGTTTTATTGCAATTATAACATTATTATAATCCTTATATAGTTCAAGTATACCCGAAGAAGGCTCCACAGCCGAAACGTTGTGTCTTTTCTTCTCTTTTTTTAGCATGGAATAAACCTTTACTTGTTACTTTAATCCTTACATAGTTGATTTAATAAATTATTTATCACAAGCATTTCTTTACAGAATATGTAAAGCAGATACATTTGGCACTAATTGCATTCGGGGTTTTCAATAAGCTCTTCCTGTCTTGTAAAATAAAGCGACATACTGTATTTGTAAAACAAAATGTAAGAACTATGAACTTGTCACACCCGAGTATACCTGTTACTATTCTTGTCTTGAAAATGTATTTATTTTGTTATAAGTATCATTACAACGTTTTGCATATTGACAAAAAATGAGCGTCACAATGTGTTTTCCATCATTTTTTGCTGGGTGCACTAGAGGTGGGCGATGAGACTGAAGGGACTGTAGCCGCTGGAGCTGTGTGGGGGTGCGGCTCGCCAGCGCCTGGGGAAAGCGGTCTGGACTCATGAGAATAGTGAAAGAGACAGAAACGTGACTGGTGCCGGTGTGGGCTAGGTTCGGGCCCGGTGGTGCAGCAACAGGGTGAAGAGGTTTCCTCTCCACGGCGCTGTGCGCTTTGCAGTGACTGGGGCTGAGGTCAGGAAACTGCCGCAGATCAATCTTTACAAAACCTTTGAAGTCAGCGGGTAGGACGTGAGAGCGCACAAGACTTGTCCAGTGCGCTTTAACCTTGATTTCAGATGCAGCTGGAATGCATTGCCTAAAAATCTGAACCAGACCTTCTCCGCGAATTTTAGACGCTCAGAAAGGATTAAGCGAATTGCTTCTAATAAAGGGGATTTAAGGCTGCTGGCGTTTTCCAACCACGAGACGCGCTGTCACCTTTTGGGTAACTGGCTTGGTGACGTCACGAAGGTATTCTGTGCTGTTCTCTGTAAATCACTGCAGCAGGACTGAAAACAGAGCGTAGACTGACACCGACTAACGACCCACTGACTACTATTCACTACCACTACCACCGACTGGAATATTTTCTGCACTGCATACGCACACTGTTGTTAACTACTGTATATTGTACACTTATTCACTTTCTATATAATAATAATTGCTTATGCTTATATAGCGCTTTTCTGGACACTCCAGCCAAAGCGCTTTACAGGTAATGGGGATCCCCTCCACCACCACCAAGGTGCAGCATCCACCTGGATGCTGTGACGGCAGCCATAGTGTGCCAGTACGCTCACCACATATCAGCTATCAGTGGGCAGAGAACGGAGTGTTGGAATAAACCTATTACTTGTGAGTTTAATTTGTCGTGTTTTTAGGAATTGTCGTCTTCCCCTGTCCGTAGACGAAGGGAACAAGCGCGAATAAAAATATCAAAATACTTGTTACAAATGGCAAATAAACTGTGAACTTGAACGGAATTTAAACTGGTCAATCTGATTTAGCAATTGGCGCGTTAGAGGTCGGTCCGGCTTCTACTCTAGGACGAGTCCGGAAACCTATCGGCAGGCTTCTCAGGGCTCCAGAGGGATCCGAGCAGGCGGCTCTGTCTGTGTTACTGGTTTCCCAAGGCTGTGTTGTAATGTATGTACGTCAGCGAATGGCATTTTTTAATAGTTCCTTCCTGTGCTGTAACATTGGGCAGACTGTGAAACGTGACCATCCCGCGTGTTTGTTTGCTGGCTGGATCGGATGGAAAATACGCGAATGAAGCACTGAGAGGCCGGAAAGACAGAGGTCCCGTGCCAGTCGCAGGTCTTGCCTTCGGGGATCAGGAATATTTACCTCCTCAGTCCCTGTGGTCATTGTAATGCAAGTGAGCGTCGACAGTTCACTGAACACCTCCGCAGGTCTAGAAGGCGGCGCTTATTTCAGAAATGAAATGCAGAGGATCAACAGGGACACGAGCGACGTGACGTGATTTCCACCTGCTTGTTTCGCCGGCTCGCGTGTTTGCATGGGGTCGCACGTGCTCACGCATCGCGTCTCTCCCGGCAGGAGAGCCATGACCACGGACAGAGATCTCCTCATGGACGGCCAGGTGCCCGCTGCCACCATCGCTGCGCAGGGCATCGACATCACGCCCAAGCAGGACCAGGGGGTGTGTAAGGTAGGTGGCGGAAGGAATGCAGGGAATGTATCCGTGTCTGAAGACTGAACACGAACAGGACAGGCATACAACACACAAAGGAGACTGTAGATCCCTGTTCTTCATTATGGCACATCACAATGAGCTTCTTGAATATGCACCTGGTATAACTATCCTGGATTACATCAGACACACAAATTTGATGAAATTGATTCAGACATCGACAGCTCACCACTTCTCTTTTGATTAAAAACTTAGTAAATATGCTTTATAGCATAAAATTGCATTATATTAACATCCAAGAGGATGATGTTTGCAAATTGCAAAATTGTTGTATGAGGACTAAGGAGATCCATTTTGTTTCTGACACTGAGGTCAGCTGGTCAGTTCCAAAATGCACATCTGTGGTTTATTTCTTCATCTGATTTAGATCACCCATAATTGTGAATTATTTAGGCTGTAGATATTATTAAATCATTACAGGGTAAATGATTGTTGCTTTGATGTGGAGGGGCAGCCGGTGAGTTAATGGAAGAAGGCAAGCTGGCGCCTGTGTGGGATGTCAGTGCCAAATGCGGAGCAGATCAGGGTGATCCAGCGACAGGGGAGACAGCAGCTCTTCCTGTCCCCAGCACAAGCAGAAGAGTCTCAACCTGCACACGGGCACTGCCAGTGCTGGAAAACAGACACACTATACTGCACTACAAATTCAATTACTGCTTTTTCCACATTTCTTCAGTTATGATCCAAAGCTAGAAATCTACTGAAACAAAACAGTGAAGCAGCTCTCAGATCTTCCAGAATGAATCCAGCAGTTTAGTCTGGGATTTATCACAGAAAATCGTCACTAAGTGGAAGATAAGAGTTGCATCACACTTGTGACCCGCTGCCAGGATGAAGACACGGCAGAGTCCACTCCTGACCTGCTGCCAGGATCAAGACGTGGCAGATTTCATTTGTGACCCGCTGCCAGGATGAAGACAAGGCAGAGTTCGCTAATGACCTGCTGCCAGGATGAAGACACGGCAGAGTTCACTAATAGCCTGCTGCCAGGATGAAGACACGGCAGAGTCCACTCCTGACCTGCTGC